ATGTATTGCGGAACATTCCATGAAGAAACAGTGGCAATATTGCACAATCACAAACTACAAAATACATGCACAATAAACGACAATTAAAAAACACAGGAACATTCAACATTCAAAAGAGGTAGAATTTAATTTCTAAAACAAGTGTTTTATAATGATATGGAAACAATATGAGAATTGAGCAAAACTATGGTAATGTAGTACATACATGTACAAGGAATTTGTTTGTAATTGTTGATATGTTAACAGATCTTGGAAGTTGTTTCTGGATAACTGTTGGTAACTTATTAAGAATCGGCTCCTTTTAACAGAGTGTACCAAATTCTTTATAATGATTGGGGATTATTTGTGATTCTCTTTCTTGGTTGTATTATGTAAGACAGTGCGTAATGTTGTTCATCTTCTGAGACATCACATGTTTCACAGAGACGTTGTTCAAATGGGGTTGGTGTTTTTATATATCTACAATTTTTTCAATTTTTAGTTTGTGATTACTTAAACGAAGTTTTGAGAAAAGTGACCAATGGCCTTTGTTTTTACAATATGTAAGATAATTCTCAATATTTATAGATAACGTGACCAAACTGTATGTTCCTAACTTGCTGCTAGATAAATGGGAATCCATTAATGATTGCGTGAATTTTTACATTTGAACTGAAGTATATTTAGAGTGTATTCATTACATTTTTTGTGTTTACTATTTTAAAAGTTTGCTTTATTTAAACCAACCAACATTTTGACCAGAAATATTGATATTTGCTGCATGTTGTGTTATCTATATAGGATTTTTTTAATTGTTACTAATAGTGGGTATACATCAAGTTTTGCCTGACAGGCCCAGTTTTCTTGCCTGGGTTTTCTTTGTGCTGACCACATTAAAGACACTGTTTCTTTTATTGTGCTTTCCAAAGATAAGTACATTAATAACAACCAATTTGTACTTAACACAAATTCTCTCCTCCCATAGCTTACACTTCCTTCCTCTGCACATAACATTATATGGCGGGGAGCTATTGATGCTCTGCAGCAATCTCTACTTGTATGTTATACCATACACAAGAGAAGGAAGTATTAGTGATTGAGAACATTGGTATATTCATACACAAATCCCACAACTTGTTTAAAGGTAATGTTTGAATAAGATTTGTGATGTACCGGGAGCAGATTAAAGAAAGGAGGATTTTATTTAAGACAATGTTGTTGTTGTCCACTACTGCTCATTGATAATCCCTCATAGCAGGGGAAGTGGACCAGTCCATTCATTAATTAGGTGTGACCAGCATGGCCCAATTAATTAGTGAGCTAATTTTAACTGCTTCTTGGGAGGGCTGCATTTTGGAGGTCTACGTTATGGGAGGGAACCGCCAAGGTTACCTCAATCTCTTAAAATCGGATACGAGTTCTCGCTACCGCTGAGGACATCCTCATTACAGGTCACGTCAGAACGACCTTTCGCGAACTTTGACCGACCAATGAAATTACGTATTTATTTCTAAAAAATAATAGTCGCAAATCAAAGTTTACTCTATGACTATCGTTGGTTATTTGAAACTCGGATGTTAAGCATAGTACATGTGTCAGTGCATGGAAACAGTTCTATTATACCACAGAGAGGGTATTAAGAGTGGACATTGAACCCAACTAACTGTACCATGTCCAGTTGTGATCACACGAGTGACCTTGGAGTCGGGATCATTTATTTTATTGATTATAATCAATAAGAAATATTTTTAATAATTTCTGTCAATGGTTGCAAACCATAATTATCCAAATAAAACCTGTAAATACAAATCAATAACGCTAGCTATTTACTGTGGTTTCCCGATATAATATATGCAGGTAAGGAATATTGAATAAGTGTAATAAGAGGTTGTGAAATTGCATTTTCCGTTAGAAACGATTGAAATATTGTAAATACAATCGACAAAACCCTTTCCATAAAATAACATGACATAACATGGGAGTGAGTGTTTTACTGTTGCTTATTATAAAATTACCAGTACTAGTATTGCAGCTATTCGCGTGGGTGGTGAGTGAATGAGTATATGCCTACTTCATCGGGGAAATTGGTGGAATGATACCAAAATAATGTTAGGTTTACTTATTAGCACACATTGCATTTTGTATTCATGCCTCGGCCATGGTGTGAGATATCTAATCAATAACTATTCGTCTTATGTTTTCTATACTAGTATCTATCTATCATCTTGGACAATTTACAATATTCGGAATCTATTTCACCTTATTTTCTCTCCTGTAAATTGTCCGGTTCGTCTTTTGGCTTTCTTTCCTGAACAAACTATGGAAGTTACATCAAACTTAAAATGGCAACTGTCATCCCACCGTGTCATTTCGATCGTCAACTTCGTTGCTTTGCGCGTTATAACGGGGTGTACCATGGAGCCAAACAAGGGGAGGCCATCAGTGTAAATGCATCATCCTACAGCTGATTACACTTAACTTGGCATGCATTTTCTTCTAATTAACGGCATGGTGATTCTGGGCCACAGTACGTTTCCCAAGCAGCCAAGAGGCGAGTGCATGGATCGCGTGGTCAGGCTTGGTGACTGGTAGGTCCATGTCTCAACGCATCTACAGGTCAGTAGGCAGAATGACAGGACGTTCATGTGGAAGTTCCAGTGTCTTAATCGTGATTACTGAACCCAGATGTTCATGTATTTGAGATTGGGGCCACACACATTGTCTACGGCATGTTCAACGTGTAGCAATGCTAGTTCTATAACATTGGGATAATCATCTGATACGTTGTGTATTTACATGTGAGCGACGAGTAGTGTATCTATAACAGACCGCCATCATACAACTGGAATATTGCTGAGTGCGGCTTTAACCAACCAACAAACAAACCATAAGAAAGTTTGTGAGTGTATATTGTCAAGTGTCAATAAGTCGGTGATTTAAACAGAAAAAAAACTAATAATGCAATCGAACTGATTCACACAAGCACGACACAGTAAACAGTGTTGATGGTAACAACATGAGCGGAACGTAAAACAATGTATTGGGCCTGCCTGTACGTGATAGATTAACACTGAGAACATTTTCATTTTGCTGGCCCTTTTATATGTTATCTTGACTCAGCAGACGTCCTGAATGTTGCACAGCTGCATACACACGACAGTTTTTGTTGGTCCACATTCAGCGTTATGACACGAAGCGGCACAGAAGAGAACAGAGTCCCCAGGAATGTCCTAAATCAGTGTCTATGTTGTCTGGAATCATTGTGCAGAACGACCCTGTTCAACACTAATCAGTACGGACCAGGCCACACCAGGTCATTTGGTCAAGCTCAGCCTGGTCTCTTTAGAGCGGATATTCGTATACATAACATGATAGAAATAAAGAACATATACTTAAGGAAATATAATAGAGAGTATATCACAAGTCACAAAATCAAGAAGCCCTGTCACGTGACAGGTGTTGCGCTGAAACTCACTGGATTATGGCTGTACTTCAACGAGTAGATGAAGACGTTAGTGTCTCATTATCATCCAATCGATGCCCACAGATTGGTCACATGACCCAGCAGGCACATGGCATTGTTTCAACGTTGAACTTTGTTTGATCTGAGATTGCTATGTTGAAAAACATTGTATCACCAGAAGAAAACAAACATATTTCTTGTACGTTTTCTTTTCTTAAATGTCTCTACTTGTAAGTCTAATAAGTCTGCTCTGACACCGTCTTTTAGTATGCGCTGTCATGTCAGTGGCTTCTCTGTCTGGTCCATCGCTTGTCTGGTTTGTGTACAGGCCGCCAATGCATGGCAGGAGTACTGATATGCGAGTGTGTCCAGAAAAACTTTTTATGCCCATTTTGTGAGTGACGTGTACTATCGGTAGGGCAGGACATGCTTTCGCGAACACCTTGTGTCATCACTGTTTTCAGTTATCCATTCATATAATTTTTACGGATATTTCGCCGTTTAGGCATAATCGAATCTGTTTCAGCGGATAATCGAGACTGGATAATTCATGCCAAACTTTAAGGATTTAAAGAATTACTTCATATCTTATCCTTTGTGCTTTTCTCCTACACGAGCTGACATGCCATCGCATTTGTGAAGTACTGGACATGTTCAAAGTGGCGTCCACTCAGTCTTCCGTGACACTGAGACACAAGGCAAGTATTGGGTACACACTTAACGAATTTGAACCAACTTAACCAAATCATATGCATTGCTGTAGGAGAGGGCTTTATTATATACTTCAGTGTGAAAGACTTCGTATTCTGAACTTGAGAAAGTGACATTTTCTTTGCAGTGAACATAACACTTAATATTTCACTGCTATGAACATTGTCTTACAGGAGTTACCTACCCTCAAATTATCTCCCCTGTTGGCTTCCTTTTCACTTTAGTTCCACATTGACAAGGCAAAATAAAGGCAGATGGCCATTAATGGAGTTAATATCGCTTCTTGTGGTTTGTTATTCTCTGGAAAATGTTTCATTATAAAATTATAAATTTCTCATTTAACTTGTCAATCGAGACTGTTCGTTTCGCAAAGCGCCATTTTTGTGTCTTAATCAGTATGTACTTTTTCGCTTCCAACAGTGGTCTCCAAGATTCAAAAAATATGTTTTGTTCGACTTTATTTTGTATGTAGCCATATTCAAATGTATGACTTTTATTGACTTAAAATATTATTTGTTACTTTTGTGCATGGGTTTTTAAAGATTTTGCGAACGCGGAAATACTTTTCAAGTTGCAATTACGAAAGGTATTGACACGTCCCTGCATGTGAAGTTTCAAGGTTTTATATTTTAATGAAATAGAACATTTTCAGGTAGTCATCTCCACAAAAAAGTGTATAATACATAGGATATTCCCTGTGTCTCATGAAATACCATGTTTCTCTCATCTTTGTTTCACTAAACACATGGAATATCCTGTACATACCTGTCTTTACTCATCAGGTGCAGTGGTTCATCAGATTAAACGTGTGTATATATCTCCTGAACGGAGTTATTGAGGTACTCACAATGCAGGACCATGCATCTGTCCGCTACACCTGTCTTCATCAGGTGAACACAGCCGTCAGTAGGGAATCCTGCAAGACAACAACAGCATATACAGAGCTTGTGGAATTGTCCTGTGAGTAGTTACAGAAGTACTGGTGTCACATGCTGCTGGGTCTTTTTATCTCGAGCGAAAAACATAGTTGGTACATGTAGGCCATCATGACGTCATTTCAGCTATCATGACAGGGAATCAAACCAGGAACATTATCGGGAGCACACCACAGACCGGATGTCATGATAGTATGAAAAAGTGATGATAAAGTAGTGCCAAAATATGGAAGCACTGAGGTTACTTACTTTGATAGTACACTCTGTCAGTGGGCATTTATATTATATATTTTTCTTTGTGTATCACACAGATACAGTGGCACTTTCCTGCTACTAAATACGTGTACAATATTTGGGTCACTAGTCAAAAACACAGATTTAGAAGCGACTGAAAATGTACGTTTCAAATGCTGATTGACACTCGAACAAAGTGCGTTTGTAAAATGTCGGACACCTTTGTTATACCCACCTAAACTGAAATTAAATAAGGCAGTTTTGTAAGTTTTTCTTATTCTAGGTAAACACTAAAGGAGACTGATCTTTAAGTTCACATTAACAGGTGGCATGATTGACGACGGGAAACAACTTGAATATGCTAAATATCCAAACAGATTGTCATTTTCAAATTTTGACCTTAACAGATCTTGATATGAATAATTTTTAAACGTTCTGAACACAAGCAGCAAGAATTATTTTGACAACAAAACAACAAAATCCAGTTGTGAAACTTTAAAGAATCGTGCCTGGGCTTGTGCTTGACACCCATAGATGTGCTTTTTCTAAACATTTTTGGTCTTGTTTGCTTCCGGGTGTAATACGAAGATGTTGTCATCACTAACTTTCTTCAAACAAATAAGCATTCTTGTCAAACTGCCCCAATATATATCAGACGTGTCCTCGAATCTTGAGTGTTGAATGTCTGCTGTTGGAACGAAGGCATGATCTCGCTTGCACAGTATGGAGGGAAAATAGTAAAGAATCTTCACTCACATTATTTTAATTCTATTATATCGACACATTTCCCTGATTATAGCATTTCTGGCACTTTTAAATAGCACATGAACAGAGAAAGATACCATAGAATCTACGTGGTACGAAGATGTCATGACTGTAGCTAGTATACATCACTCGATTACAAATTAAAGTGTGTTTTTGAAATAATATTTCTTTTCATGTAATCAGGAAGAATATAAGGATTGTATAAGGACGATATTTACTCCGGAAACACCGGAAGTTGATATACATTAATTTGTTGTGCTTTCGATTACATTGCGCAGATGCAAAAAACGAGGATACATTACTATATACATATATACAATAAATAACAACAGATTCACCAAGCAGTGGCTTCAGTAAATAAAGATACAAGAAAAGGTTCAGTTACGAAACATACTGACAGAGTTAAATAACATTAGTTTCTAAGTGTTCCTTATGTTTTACTATTAAAAAGCAAATTCATTTTGTACATGTTTGGTGAAATGTAAAAAGATTTTCTAATTAGCTGATTTCTCTCATTTTGAAATAGTGGACAGATAAATAGATAGTGAAACTCATCACCTAAATCAAATAGTTTACAAAATTGACATTTTCTTTCAGTAAAAGGTATTTTCCCCATCTTTTAGTTTCAATAGAAAAGCGTTGTGTACATGTAACTGAGATTGGCAAAGGTATTCAGAAATATTTCTGGACATACCAATCAAGGATGTATGTAGACGGCCAATGGTCTCTGAGGCGATCTTACAGGTTTCGTCTTTCTCAGCTAGCGTCTAGAAAGGAAAAAAATGTACTGGCTGGTCATGAGATATAAACCAATTGGGATATTAATATCTATATCAAGGATATGTATATCACTGTAAGAAACAAATAAAAAACATTATTGATGGGAAAAATGGTTGTTTTTCCGTGAATTGGAAAAAGGGAGCTTGGAGATATCAAGTCTGGACAAAACAAACAGAAGGGTCAATCAGTCAGGTTATAGCTGGCAGTTCTTCCCCCGGATTACACATTAAAGTGTTATTCAATGCAAACCAATCCCTGTTTGTTGTGCCAACAAATATCCTGGATTACTGGGAGGATGTCACACAAAGTGTCATCTGAAAATGTGAAACAAACGTGTAGACCAATTAACCGATGTCAGCCTCCTTTGTGCACAAACGATATTGTATTGTGGACATGGTGTAGGAGGTGACAGCATGTGTTTCCAGAATTGCGGGTATCATTGAGTATTCAATGCGCGGAAGTTTCATTTGGAGCAGACACTGTTACATTGTGTCATTACCAGTGATTTTCGGAATCTCTCTGTCTCTCTCTCTCTGTTTCTCTCTATCTCTCTCTCTCTCTCTCTCTCTCTCTCTCTCTCTCTCTGGGGCGGTTGGGTAGCCTAGTGGTTAAAGCGATCGCTCGTCATGCTGAAGACCCGGGTTCGATTCCCGACTTGGGTACAATGTGTGAAGCCATTTTCTGGTGTCCCCCGTCGTGATATTGCTGGATAATTGCTAAAAGCGGCGTAAAACCAAACTCACTCACTCACTCACTAACTCACTCACGATCTCTCTCTCTCTCTCTCTCTCTCTCTCTCTCTCTCTCCAATAGTTGGAATATGATATAACAATATGCCTGTGATTATTGAGTGTGACAAAATGATATACAAACCATGTTCATGCTGTTTGCTTCATCATTCAATTTGTCCATTAGGGCTTGTAGTAATTCAATTCTTTCCTTGTCTGAAGCGATATTTGATTTCAGTTCTGCAAGCTCCTGAAAAGTAAAACATACCTTTTGATAGAAGTTCGAGGCTGTAAAATAATACTTTTAAATCAAGCAGCAAAAAGACTTTCTTACAGTTACATCAGGTTGATGCAAGTATTGTGTGATCAAGAGTTTATGTCCATCACATGATTTGGGCCTACGAAGTAAAGAAAGCTAACTTCACGTTCTGGAAGTAGTGCTCTGATCTGTCCAGTATCCCCAGCCACCATCTCTGATACTGTCCTCCAACACATTGTTTTGATACTATCTGTCAGTTGATCTGATACTGATAATGACGTTAGCTGCTAGATTTCGTACATGAAATCCAGCAGGTCTCTCCAGGCTGGAGGGATGATGTGGACAATGAGAACAGTTGGATTAACATCATGTATCAGTTTGCTCTCTGCATCAACAGACACTCCACCAGAATGGAGAGAAGACACAAACGCCACGCTCTAACAAGTCAGCTCCATCAATATCAGCATATCATCTATCTGACACTCTGTATGGAATCTTTATCTTTTGATGTCAGACACTTTAAAATCTGACAGATTCTGCAGAATGCTATTTTCGTCTTCAAGGTGCTTCTAAAATATTCAGATAAAATGCATACACTATTATGATTGGTATGGTGAAGACTTGACTGTGGGCTTCTTCCTATATGAATCCTTAGCTAATTTTACATACCATTTCGTGTTTCTGTTCCAGGTCCGCCAAATAGTCATCATCAGTCTGTGTTTGCTTATCTGAAATTGAAGAAGCAAATTTTGAAAAAGTAGGAACTGAAAATAATACTGTGTGAAAAGCACATGAAAAACATGAATTCTGTTTTGCAGACTTTTGGCACATATCATTCTCAAAGGACAAGAAATGTCTTTATTTACATACCATCACCTGTGTCAATAATCTCTTCTTTCAAAGCAGTGATGGTACCAAATCCAGACATATCTGATTTCAGTTTGGACAAACCGTTGGTGTTGAAGGCCGCTGTGGGTACATCGTGTGTTTGAGGTGCAGCAGTCTCCAGGCAAGTCCGAGTTATCCCCTCAACAGAACTCTCTAGTTGCAAGAGAAACGATTTGGAAGCATAGACAACACTTTTTCTGATGTAATCTAAAACCCCGGTGCATTTTGCTTGATCCTCTTCACATGAGGTTTGAAGAGCACGGAGAGTTGCTTTGGGTTCCCTGGTCTGACTTTCAAGATCAATCAAGAGTTCCTTCTCCCTTTGGTCAAGCTGTGATCTTAAAGACTGGAACGTATGTCCTATTGTCTCTCTCAATGTGTTCTGTGTACTGTCTGCTAACTTTGTATCTTGTCTGATACTCTGAAGGTGTGTTTGCTGACGAGACAGTAGCGCCGACAGATCTTTCCCGTGTTGTTCAATCCGCTGTTTAACACCTTCAGCAGCCTCATCCAGATCCTCAACCTCGTGATCCGCGTGCTCTCCTCTGCTACATCGACCACAGATAGACATGTTGCAGCTTTTGTCAAACAAATCTAGTGGATAACGGTTGTGAATACTGCAATTTGTTTCATTTTCGAGATTTTGCGGAATAATATCCCCAAACTTGTGCACGGGATGGTTTCCGGTACGTTTGACGCTGCTGTGCATGTTCTGGCAGTATTCACAGAGGAAGTCTTCACACTCCTCACACCAACACACAGCCTGGTTTCCATCATCTTCATTTGTACAGAGAAGCTCTGTTGGACGATGTTTGACTGTCAGGTGGAATATCTCCTTCTGTCTCACTGCATCCTTCTGGAGACTTGTCTCTGTGAGGTTGACCTCCCTCTGGCATGTAGAGCATGATATCACACCGCCAGCTGCAGATGTCACACACGTCTCACACACAGCGTGTAGACAAGGCAGTAAGTAGGGGACTGGACCTTTCAGGGTAAACTGCTGCTGACAGACGGAACACTTGGGGAAGGTGTCCATTCTGAAAGACAGAAAACAATACTGACCAACTTTGCGATACATATCCAAATTTGCATTGGTGTAGACATGCCAGGTTTGTGTTGATCAACTTAAGTTTCCCTGAATATGTGGTACTTTTTTAATTTGGCACTCATTTCCAGACAGGGTAATAACATGCTTTTCTGAGACCATCTTTGCATTACATGAAACATCATTGTAAACATGGTTGGTTTGATTCTGTTGACCCGTTTTAGTGTCAGATATTAAATTATGGCATAGGTTCACTTGTGAATCTGACGCACAATAAGAAACGGGTGCAAAAACTAAATATAAATTCAGAAAATTGTTCCTAAACAGTGTTTACAATATAATAGTAGAGACAGGGGCAAATGTAGTGGGCGGGTCCATACAGACAAATTACTTCTAGATGTCTTATCTACCGCTGGGCGGTGGGTGGCCTAGTAGGTGGAGCAGTCACTAGTCCGGACTGGTTCGATTCCCAGCATGGGTACAATGCGCGAAACCAATTACCGGTGACTTTTGCTGAAAGCTGCGAGAAACCATACTACCCCACTCTCTTATCTACACACTATGCTCGCAGAATCAAAACGGCATGTAGGGCAATGTCGCAAACACCTACTGGTATTTGTGTTAGACAGGTATTACACTGACAAAATGAATAAGGGCCATATCACAATGGGTGGATGTGTATTTTACTTAGTCTTGATATACTCCTCAATAAGTACCTACTCATTTTACAGAATCCACTAATGCATGAAAGGCTACAAAGTGCATAGCACCAGTACATGCACCTCTCACTATACACGTATATTCAGGTACAATATACACCCATATACATATACTCCAGAACAAGCAGCATCAGTATTATCAATACCGCATATACACTACATTCCACCATCTCCAATCTCATTTTAACAAAATAATTCAACACTCTGTCTTTACTAATGTATAAACATCTGTTTACAGCCTGCCTAAAGCAGAAGCGACTGTGCTTGTCGTAAGTTGCGACTGCGGGGTCGGGTGGTCAGGCTCGGTGACTTGGTAGATGCATGTCATCGTATCCCAATTGCGTGGATCGATACTGATGGTGTCAATCACTGGATTGTCTGGTCAAGACTCGATTTTTGACACACCGCCGTCAGATAGCTAGAATATAGCTGAGTTCGGCGTTAAACAACAAACAAACAAAGCCTAAAGCAGCGTTCAAGGCCACTCATTGCATACACACAGCTACCCTACCCTCCTATGAGAGATCCTCACTGTACATGTACATTCAGCAACAACATAGAATCAATAGGGTGTACACATGATAAGCATCGCCATTCGATAATTCACAATAACAGAAAATAACTCCCTCTTATCTTACACAGTGTGTGTATTCTACAGTTATTAGCCGTCTAAATACAGTCAATATCGCTGTAGTGTAAGCAAGGACATATCTGTCTATACCCTACTGTTATACAAGGTGACGCGGCCGAGTGTTTTCTATTATACACCATAACAGCAAAAGTGGGTCATGACTTGTTTGAATGAAGCTCGGCCTCGTTGTAAAACGAAAGTAGGAATGGGTAGCAATCAGCAAACACTGATATTCAGGATATTCACTGTAAAAATAGAGGTATATGTAACACCTACAGTAGCCTGACAGTGTCTTGACATATACATGCAAGTTTTGACACTGGATATGGAACAGGGTTTGAGCCAAAATGTTGTGAAGAGAACACTCGGTACATATGAAAAGTCCAAGGTGGAGGTCAGCTACCATCAATAACGCGTATGTCTCCTGTTGGAATCGATAGCGGCCTGACATATCCTGCCGATTGAAGAGACGAGTATGCGAATATCATCCTTGGGAATGGTAGCCCACTCAGCCTGCAACGCAAAAGCCAACTGCTGCAACGTCTCGGGTTGTGGTTAACGTCGTCCTTGTAAAATGAAGTAGGGAAATAGTGTAGTCACGTTATAGTAAACTACAGGCTCCACAGTCTATGAAACACTATGAAACACAGGTTGTACCTGTTAGGAATCATCAAAGCATATGCACATGTACATGCAAGTTTTGGCTTATCTCTGAAGTGGCGTACTAGGCGAGAGACGAGACACAACACACCTAAATATACATAGATTTTCTACACAACCAAAATTGCTACCTTGTTTTCTTTATAATAATAATATATTGCCCAGCTACGAACTTATATTTGGCTTTCAAAGAGATGTCATGAATACACATCACATATATTAACGTATTTACAGGGAGTTACATTTACTGAATATTTATGTTTATATTTTGTCTCATTCGACTGATATAATTAATACATTTCTTCTTTCTTGGTTTGATGACTGGCTGAAGTAGATTCCTTTTCATCTATATTTTAGCTGTATCTTTCATAAAGTTCGGGGTAATGCTATTAATATCCTCCATGTTATTATTAATGATCTATCATATAATCGGTTCAGGGTCGTTCTTCAAGAGGCTGTTTCAGATATCTTCTGTCTCATACATCTTCCCGAGATAAAGGAGTTAACTGACTATAAGAGTTCAGATTCCGAACTAGGCTGAATTTATGGAGTTACATTGTGGCTGGACTAACGAGTCTATGCAAAGTCAAATCAAAATCGTGTAACAAAATCGACATCCGATTTATAAAGAACATGGTGGCTGCTATGCAAATTTCAGTCAATTGCACGATTTTCAGAACCATTTTGTTGAAGCAAAATGCAGGTGATATGAGAGATGGAATCTGATTGGTCAATAGCGGGGACATAGAAGCGAAATAACTTATAAAACCGACTGGTGGCGCTACGAAGGAGACACAAAATTATTGCCTAGGGTTGAAACTTACGTTATAGTCAGCTAAATCTCTTTCCTCGGGAAGATGGTTTCATATGATATTGATACCTTTTTGTTTGATCTTTAATTTCTACAGATTTTAAAGATTTCACATATTTTCATATTGTCGTGCACTATACCATATTATTTGCTTAAGTAAATAATGTTTGAAGGAGAAATAATGTGGGATTTTTTAGAAACCAATCTGGTCTGAGACTCCCTGTTTTATGTACAACAATATATTGTTTAAAAACTTTGAAATAAAATAATTTCTTCTATGAAAGCACATGTCATGAAAAGCATAATTGACTATACATGCTACTATACATTACATGATATTTGTGCTTAGTGTATGAAATAAAAACATCAATAAGTAGTGTTTGATAATTCTTAACTATCTTGACCATTGTATTTCTTGAAAGCTTTTTTTGTAAATCAAGTGGCGTAATCATTAATAAATTTGATAAATCATTCAAGACCAGAAGTAAAAAAAAATAAAGAAACAATTTTCTCGTCAAATGAGCAAGAAAATGCACATCTTATTCATTGTGCTCTGGCACTCGTGACAGGGCAAGCAAGCACAATCCACTCAAGCGTTGCACATTATATATGCAGTTGATTTATAATAATATAAGTTCTATCATTTAATATACTATCACATTGTTACAGCGGTATATGTACATCAATCCATAAATACATCTCTATCTCGAAATGCATTACATCAGGTTTCTTACAATGAATTTCGGTGATCCATTTGTATAATGTTCACCCCTGTTTTGCCTTTTCCATCCAGTGGACTCTTGTCTTTATACAAGACTGCTCCGCGGAAGACAGACCTCCATATACTCAGTGAAGACAAGTAGCCTCTAAAAACAACACTACTCAATGGAAGACAGACAACCTCGATATACAACACTTTTCTCCACGGAAGAGTGACAATCTCGATATACATAACTTTTCTCCATGGAAGAGGGGCAAGCTCGATATACAACACTGTACTCACGTGAAGACAATCAGTCCATATATACAACACTCTACTCCATGGAAGACAGCCAACTTCGATATACAACACTGTACTCAAGTGAAGACAAGCAGCGCTATGTACAACACTTTACTCCACGTAAGACAGACGACCTCGATATGTAACACTGTACTCAAGTGAAGACAGTCGGTCCCTATATTCAACACTTTACTCCACGGAAGAGAGACAATCTCGATATACAACACTGTGCTCATTTGAAGACAAGCAGGCCCTATAAACAACACTGTACTCCACAGAATACAGCCTGCCTCGACATACAACATTGTACTCCACGGAGTGAGTAAATGAGTGAGTTGGGTATAGCGCCGCTTTAAACAGTATTCCAGTTATATCGCGGGGTGTCAGCTTAATGTGTGAGGAAAGCCCAAAGTGATGCAGGTCTTTGACGTTTACCACTTCGGTGAATATCTGCATATCGCATATCTGCACAGCGAATCGCGGAAACTGGGCCACCCGTGCCCCCTTTACTCCGCGGAAGACAGGCAACCTCGATATACAACACATTACTCCACGGAAGACAGGCAACCTCGATATACAACAAATTCCTCCACGGAAGACAGCCAACCTCGGTATACATCACTGTACTCAAGTAAAGACAAACAGCCCCTATACAGAACTCCACTTCTATATGCAGAACTGCATTCCACTGAATACAGGTATCCCCTATATACAACAATTTTATCCCCAGAAGACAGACAACGACATTATACAACACTCCACTCAACTTAAGCCAGGCAGCTCCGATATACATCACTGTTCATTAAGGTAGACAGAAAAATCTGATAGTGAAGTATAACATTAGACGTTTTGACCCCCTACGAATTGAAGGACGATAGAGGTACATGTACATGTAAGATGGAAAATTTTCAAAGTTTACGTTTTTGCATAGTTGAGTGCGTGATACCGTCACGGTTTGTCAAACATTCATTTACTCGACGAGGCATTCTGTGTACGAGTCCCCCAATTGCCAGGTTCAGCCAGGCAAACCAAATAGGTCGGATGTCTATAGCTATGGCGTTGATAGTTGTGACACGTGTTCGGCGACGATAACCCCAGTTTCGACGTTGTGTGCACTGTTGAAGTCTGTTGGCAATATGACAATTTGTAAAGGCCGACACATCATGTTTCA